AATCAATTTGCACACCAAGAGAGAAACTAAAAATCTGACTGGTAAGAAATTCTTACCCTTTTGCCAGCCTGCCAGCCTTCTGGGTTCCCTTTTCCTGAGCAGCCCTAGTGACCTGACCTGCTGCACCATCACCCTGGGGGCCAAACTGCAACACAAAAGAATTTTTTTTTTTTTTTTTTGGTAATTGCACTTTAGTGTGTTGTTGTTCATTTGGAACATTATACTGTAAGTTATCTTCAGTAAGATTTCACCATTTCTGTAAGACTTTGCTGCCTCCTGGGCCTAATGTATAAGCAAGAAGGAACTCAGTTTTTCAGAAATTAAGGATCCCATTTTTACCTAAAATATTGGCTTAACTCTTAGGTTCTCTTGATTAACTTAGCCAATGATTTTTTTTTCTTGCCTAGGAGTGCAAGAAAAATTAAACAGAGGGGTAGAACACAAAAATCCCTGTGAATTTTTAAAAGCCAAATTGTAAAAGCACTGCAATATTACTGCTTACCACCAGTTCCTTTCTGACCCAGTCAGATGTAAGAGGCCTCTTACTGTTTCCAAACCAGCTAATTCCCAGATCAGATTAATTCCTGGACCCAGCCCAGTTTCTGTCATGACTTCCAAACCCAATTTGCATCAGAAACTCAGAAAGCTCAAAACACAATTCTGTGGAGCTCAAAATCCGAGAGGGAGCTTAACCACAATCCCCAGCCACTCTGAGAAGTCAGTGTACATAAGTGGGTCCTGCAGACACCTTGCATATTCACTCAGCACTCCTGGAGGTCACTAGAAGCTCCACTTCAGATCCCACTTCTGACACCATCTGATAAAAGAGAAACTTCAGCCGAATTAAATTTGAAGGGGTTTAATTGAGCAATGAATGATTTGCAAATTGGGCAGTTCCTAGAATCACAGCAGATTCACAGAGAATCCAACACAGCCACGTAGTGGAAGATTTATAGAAAAAAAAAAAAAGGTGATGATGTACAGATATTGGCATTGAGGTACAGAACAGCTGAATTGGTTACATCTTGGCATATGCCTTGTTTGAACACTGTCTGAACACTCAGCAGTGTATGAATGGTTGAAGTATGGCCACTGGGATTGGCCAACACTTGGCTATTGTTACAGGTGTATACTACTAAGTCAGTTTTTGAATTTTTTCTGTCTATTAAGTTAGGTTACAGTTCATCCACAAGGACTCAAATGTAGAAGGATGGAGTCCTTCTCGGGCCATATTTAGTTTGCTTTAACACTTATATTATCTATCTACTGATACTGAATGGTGATTGTTATGGCAAAAAACCCATAATCATTTGCAGGAATCCAGACCTTGTTTTTAGTTCTGGTTCTTTATTTTGCTCTGATTCTACCAGCTGTATTGACACGAGGAAACTAACTTGTCTAAGGCTCTGTGAATGCATTATAACAATTGTAGATAACTACACACTTTATGGCTGTTTTAAGCTTAGTGAAATTATGTGTTACACTATTTAGCACAATATTGAGTAATTTTATCATTTTTAAGTATTATATTAATTGTCAGTATTATTGAGTATTGATCATTACTATTTAAACTCTTTAAACATCTGAATTAAAATGTATGTATATAAGTTACTTTGTTCATAGTGGTCATAAAAAATGATATGTTACATTAATAGAAGTTGAAGTAATATTTGCCTCATGGCTTAATATGAGTTAGAGACTTTTATTCATTGTATTTCCATGTTTTGACTATACTGTATCTGGATATGATTGTCTTTGCATTTATTCTATTTGAAATTTATTAAACTTGTTGGGTGAATAGGTTAATATTTTTCAGCAAAATTGGGAAGTTTTCAGCCATTTTATTTCAAATATTATTCTGCTTTTTTCCTTTCCTTGATCTGAAACTACTAGTATGTATTTATTCATGAACTTAATGGTGGCCCACATTTCTCTGAGTGTCAGTTTATTGCTCTTCTTTCTTATTTTTCTCTGTTTTTTAGATTGCACAATCTATATTGATCTACTTAAAAGGTCAGTAATTTTTTACTCTTGCAGCTCAAGTCTATTGAGATCCTCTAGTAAATTTTCATTTTGGTCATTGTACCTTTCAACTCCAGAATTTTCTTTCTTTTTTTTCTGTTTTTATAATTTGTGTCTCTCTATTAACATTCGTTATTTGAGTCATAATCCTCATAAGTTTATCTTTCAGCACTTTATTTATTTATTTATTTTCGAGATGGAGTCTCGCTCTGTTGCCCAGGCTGCAGTACAGTGGCGTGATCTCAGCTCACTGCAAGCTCTGCCTCCTGGGTTCATGCCATTCTCCCACCTCAGCCTCCCCAGTAGCTGGGACTACAGGCAATTGCTACCACACCTGGCTGATTTTTTTGTATTTTTAGTAGACACGGGGTTTCACTGTGTTAGCCAGGATAGTCTCAATCTCCTGACTTCGTGACCCACCGGCTTGGGCCTCCCAAAGTGCTGGGATTACAGAGGTGAGCCAACATGCCCGGCCATTTTTAAGCACATTTTAAATGTCTTTGAACATATTCACAATAGCTCTTTTGAAGTCTTTGTCTGCTAAGACTGTCGTGTGGGCTCCCTAAAGGCAATTTCTGTTTACCTGCTTTTTTTCAGGTACATGAGTCACAATTTCTTGCTTTTTTGCATGGCTTTTACTTTATTGTTGAAAACTAGATATTGTAAATAACAAAGCATAGCAACTCTGGAAACTGATTTTCACCCCCTCCATAGTCTTGTTGCTTGTTTGTTTATTTGTATCCTAACTTGTTTGACTATTTCAGTGACAGACTGCTCCTCAGATGCTTAAGAGTGAACATAAGTAGAGTTCTCCCTCTCCCTCACCCTAAGGGAATTAGAGTGGATTTCAGTGAGTTATATTTGACTGTCCCTTCCTGATTGCCCTGCTGTGTGTCTTGCTGATCTGTCTTTATGGTATTTTTTTTTTTTTTTTTTTTTTGTGAGGCATAGTCTAGCTCTGTCACCCAGGCTGGAGTGTAGTGGCGCAATCTCAGCTCACTGCAAGCTCTGCCTCCCAGGTTCACGCCATTCCCCTGCCTCAACCTTCCGAGTAGCTGGGACTACAGGAGCCCACCACCAAGCCTGGCTAATTTTATTTTTGTATTTTTTTTTAGTAGAAATGGGTTTCACCATGTTAGTCAGGATAGTCTCTATCTCCTGACCTCGTGATTTGCCTATCTCCGCCTCCCAAAGTGCTGGGATTATAGGCGTGAGCCACCGTGCCCGGCCAATGGTATGATGCCTACATGTTAGACTCTACTAATTGTTTGCTATTATTGCTTTCAAGCATGCTCTGAGCATACATTTGGAACCTTTCACAGTGGTATCATATGAAGCCAGCATTTGAGGGTTATTCTGACCTTGGGAGAGCTCTCTTTAACTGTTTATTTTCTGGTTTCTGTGTTAAACTTTCAACTGATCCACCATTTTATTTGTTGCACCATGTAGCTATCATTCTTCTCTTAATTGATCATGATCGAAATCTCATTGTTTTCCAAAGCGCCTTTAAGGTTGAACTCTCCTACAGTCTCTTTTAAATAAATTTATTTACCTTAATTCATACTTCGGAGTTTTCTTTTCTTATGGACTTCTTTTCCCTTTGGGAAGAACCTCTCAGTCATTGTTCTGGGGCTAGGAGACAAGAGTCAACTGCTTCTCTTGAAGTGACATTGCAGCTCTACAGTCAGCATTCTAGGAAAGAGTAGTAATTTCTAGTACTTTCAGTCTCCTTCTCTCGGCATGGAATATCCACCCTGTGACTGAGGTAGCGTGATAATAATTGAGGCCCAGTATTCTCAAGCTGCCATGCCTGAGTTACAACTCCTATCCTATAATCAGGGGCTGAGTAGAATAAGGAAGTTTCTGACCACTTGGCTAGAATAGATCATATACAACATAGGGCTGAGGGGATGAGAAATGTTGAAAGGCTGTTTATCCTGACATATCCTTAGGTTAGGAACTGGGGAAGAAGCAGCCCCATTTTCTTGGCTGAATCAATTTAGAATAGAACTTTCATCATAGTGAACATGGAGAGGGTGGATGAGTCTGGCTGAAATGCCATGTACCTTTGGGGTTCTTACTGAGATTTGGTAGATTTTCTTAAATAAATGTTTATTCCTTTTCTGTATGCCCTTATGACAATTTTTAGCAGTTTCAAATGATTGAGCATTTTTGCAATTTTCACAGATTATGGTAGTTCTACTAGGGAAAGGGTCCATGAAGATCCTCACACCACCATTCAAGAAGTGACATCCCTAGAATAAAGTTTATTGAAAAGATTGTGAATGCTAGTTATCTGTCATTAAGTCATGTTTTAAAAGCAGAGGGACATTTCAGGTCCTGTAGGAAAGACGGAGAGGAGCTCCAGTTAGTGAAGCAGAAAGATACCCAAAGACTTTGGAGAAAGTCTCTGAAACTGAGTCAAACCTGAGTGATCCCATAAAATGGAATACAAGATTCTAATAAAGAATCCGGCAAGTTACTTTTATGTTCAGGGCTCTCAATTCATCAAAGAAGGATTGGAGAGGTTCAAAGCAATGTTTAGTAACATAGGCTTGAGTAAATGACACTGGAAAGTTCTATTTCCTAAGAGAGAAGGACTAAATACATGCTGCCACCACTAAGACGATATCATTTTGGCAGTAATGTATCTTTAAAAAAATCTTCTACTGCCTTTCTGCAAAGAGTAAATGATTACCTACCTTTTTGTGTAAGAGGTAATGTCTTACACAGTTAAAATGAAACCTACAGTAAGGAACAGAAAATTGATGTTAAATGCATTCCTATTATGTTAAATAGAAAACATTAGAAATGCTTTTTCTGACATTTTTTATAGTAAGAAAAAGTGTAGCTAAATACACAAACTATTTCTGTCCATTACTGATGAAAATGTGGTCTGTATTATATTTTTTTCTATTGTAAATCTAGAATTAGTTGTAATTGGTGTAACATAGTCATTTACTCTTATTTCTTTTCAGATGTAAAAGCCTCTGTTAATAGTTTTCCTGTTAACAACCTAACTATTCGACTGCTGAATAAAAACCATTAGGACACCTAAAGTAACAGAAAGGATTTTGGCAAGAAATAGTCATTCCAATATCAATGACTATGGAGGAAATGCGATTACTTTTCTTTGCTTGTTTTCCTGGTTTGTGTACTTAATTATGAGTCACAGAATTTATAACAACCCCAAAACGTACCATTTTTATACAAAAATTAAATAATAGCCCAAACTAAGTATTTGGCTCTTAGGAATTTGAGAACTTTTGCAAAATGATAACATCTCTCATAAAAAATAAATGTTGTTAAACTATATATATTTAATAAACCCATTGCAGTAACTAGCAAAAATAAATTTAGCTTTCTGAAATGCCTAAGTGCATACTGAATGTTTCTCTAGATACTCTCTGAAACTTGGAAACTAAGTTTAAAAACATAAACTCTCTTTCTTTAAATAAACGCCATTCAAAAGTAGTACTAAATGTTAACATCATGTTTATAGTTTTGAAGAAATAATTCCTAGATATAAGATTGTATTACCAGGCATTATAGATCTAATACACTTTCATTTCCCTATTTAGGAGGTTAGTATGTTTTCTGAGAGTCTTTGTCATTTCCTGTCAATCATTCCATCTAGATCATTGAGTAAAATCTTCTCATATTCCCCTGTAAGTATATGAGGACCCTATAGTGTTGTTTTCCGTATCATTGTCACCTATACTTACATTAACTTTATGTTGCTATGGAATAGCAAAGAATAAACAATAGTGAAAGAATAGAAATAATAATAATAATAATAACAAAACAAAACAAACAGGGAGCTAGAAGTTCCTATTTTTGTCTCAAAATTAGTGGTTCACATATTCAAAGCCAATTTGACTTTAAGCTCTCTGTAACTATTTAAATGCAAACATATTAGTGAAATACTATAAACTCTTCGTAACTTTCTAAATGCAAACATAGTAGTGAAATACCATTACCATACATTAAAGTGCAAAGCTTTTCGTAAGTTTTTAATTTTTTTGCAAACACACATCTCCATAATCACAACTCAGAACAACATATCAAGTTTTTGGCATTTGAAGCTCCTTGTTTGCCTCCATCCAACATGGTTTTTATTTTTCACTCTAGTCCAGTGTTTTCACAGCAGTTTACCATATTTATTTATCTAGATGTATACCTAAATTCCATTGTATTTCTACGCTCTCCCTGGCTTTCTCCTCTCTCTTTTCCCTTCTTTCTTTTCTTATTTTTTTCCTTACTCCCTCCCTCCCTTCCTTCCCCCTTCCCCACTCCTTTCTTTTCCTTTCATTTATTTTCTTTTCCTCCCTCCCTCCCTCTCTTTGCTTGCTCCTTCTTTCTTTCTTTCCTTCTTTCCTTCTTTCCTTCTCTTTCTTTCTTTCTTTCTTTCTTTCTTTCTTTCTTTCTTTCTTTCTTTCTTTCTTTCTTTCTTTCTTTTTCTTTCTTTCTTTCTTTCTTTTTCTTTCTCTTCTTTCTTTCTCTCTTTCTCTCTCTTTCTTTCTTTTTCTTTCTCTTCTTTCTTTTTCTTTCTCTTTTTTCTTTCTCGCTTTCTCTTTCTTTCTTTCTTTCTTTTTCTTTCTCTTCTTTCTCTCTTTCTCTCTTTCTCTTTCTTTCTTTCTTTCTTTCTTTCTTTCTTTCTTTCTTTCTTTCTTTCTTTCTTTCTTTCTTTTTGTTTCTTCTTTCTTTTTCCTGTATTTCTTTGAATTCTACTTATCTCTCTGTCAAATCTTTCAAATCTCTCCATTATGGCACAGTCTTTTTAAGCTTCTTCTTCTTCCCTCTTCCACTTTTGTAACTCATTTTTCTCTAGCAAACCTATTTTTGTCTCAAAATTCGTCGTTCATATGTTTAAAGCCAATTTGACTATAAGCTCTCTGTAACTTTTTAAATGCAAACATAGTAGTGAAATATTATTATCATACAGTAAAGTGCAAAGCTCTTCATAATTTTTTATTTTTTGCAAATACACATCTCAGAACAAAATGTCAAGTAATGCCAACATTTCAAATTCTTCCTTTGGCCTCATTCTAGTTAATATAATGCCAAAAGAAACACTGTAATTCTTTATGAAATTTTAATCACAGATTTATTTTATAGATGCTATTCAGATTTTTCTATATTTTAAAAATCTTAAAAGGTTTTTTTAAAACTTAAAAGTTTTAGTGTTTTACAAAGAAGCTAATAATTTCATTAGAATGTTAAAAATTGTATGTCAAGTTTTTGTCATTTTTCAATCCATGTAAAATATATGTGATATACTTTTTTCACTGTTAGTGTTAATTTGTATTAAAAAAAATCTTAGAGATTTTTACATCATTTTTATTAATCTTTTCAAATTTGCCATCTGATGTTTACTGTGACTGAATATTTTCTTTCCAAGAAATTTTCTCTGGAAGCCTTTCTTTGTTGTAAGCAGAGACATATATTCTTTTACAATGGATTAAATGACATTTTCACAGAGAAAACACAACGATATAATCAGTACCCAGATCAAGAAATAGAATAAGATCCGCTTCCTAGAAGACTACCTTGTGCATTCTCTCAGTCATTACTGTTTTACCCCCTCCCTTGGCAGTTTCCTCATTTTTAACGCTGAAGATCATGTTAGTTTTTTGTTTTCATTTGTTTATTTGTTTGCTTTACTTGTCCATAAATGCATATATAGAGCATTACCTCTTAAAATGCTTTTTTATTCAAACATTAGTTAGATTAACCTAAATTATTTTAATATGACTAGTATTTGTTCATTCTCATTTTTACATACTATTATTAGTCATTATATTTTGTAGAGCTTTAGAACACTCTCGGTATTAATCCACTTAGAATACATATTTTGGGAAAAAAAAGTAACATTTACTAGTCTAGGTCTTAATTTCTGTAGTAATGTACACATTCAAGGGGACAACACATCTAAGAAATATTCAAGACATCAACACAATCTTAGTGCTTGATAACCATTCAGGCTTTTTGGTCCCCTGCCTGGTACCCAAGCATCTGAGAAGTGACAAGTCAGCCCACTGTACGGTGGAAGACTGATGGAGTGGAATGCCTGTGAATATGTTTGCCTTGATGAACTATCACAAGAAAAAAGAATGGAAAAAGACAGTGAGTAAATTAATCAAAATAAAGATAAGTAAAACAATTTAAATAAAGAATGAGAAAACGTGATGCTGCCTTGTATAAAAAAATGTAGTAGTGGAATTCTAAAGGGGCTGTTCTATCGCTTTTACCAAAGGAAAGGTTGTTCATAGACAAAAAGGTTTCAGAATTACTTTTCTTTAGAAAATACTGGCAGCTGCATTGAAAATGTCAACTTGACAAGTGACACTGTCGCTTCATAATTTGCTTCTTAGTAGGATTAGACTTCAGAGTGCGACAATTTGTGTTATTGAACAACAAAACTCCCAAACAAGGGGGATATCAAGAAGTGATTTTAGGAGGGTATTGAGCAAACCTTTGGGGGAAAAAGTATAGCTCTGCTACTCTTCCAAGCATTATGAGTTTTACTTTTATTACAGAAAGTAAAATTTAATTTAAATATATTAGTTGAAAACCTACCATATGCCAGGAACAAACTTGTGTTACTTTACCCTGTTAATGTCAGTATTATTTGTAAGATCTTGGCAGAAAAAACTAATTTATTTACTCTTAGGTTATGCTTATAATATAAAATCAGATGTTAATATACTATCCTAATACTGTTGTGTAAATGCTTTTAAAAATCACAAGATATAAAACAAGGCAAGGTAATTAAAATTACAAGTAAGAATAATATTGTATCACAGATCTTAAAAGGGATCTACCAGTGTGTTATTACGTATTTGAAACAGAATGCTAAATACAACCAAAATTTAGTGTTTCTTTTGCTCTAGATAATGTTTTGGTTGTGTATGGTGTTTTTACACATGTGCTTTCTAGAAAGTACAAGTTATTCCATTATTTATAATGTATATTCAATTTTTTTTTTGAGGTATCTTTTATGGAGGCATTCTTTGTACTTGATAATGCCCATATTCTTGGTCCTGATTTCTTGAACACTCCTTTCTTTCTATAATGTTGAAAGTAGACGTATCAATTTTTGGAAGAATCATGTTTAATGTAGGTGATAAAAATAAACTGGAAAACAGTAACTGTTCTCACATAGGTGTTGACATCATGAATTCAATTTCTAACATGTGACGTATAACATAGAAAGCTGAGAAATTGCTTTTGAATAAGTTTATTCTTTGATGTGTATACGTATGTAGGTG